CCTGGAAAATAAAATAAAATTCCATTCAATAGGAGTGGTGTTTTTGGCGACCAAGGCAGACTGTTGACTCCACATTTACGTGGATTACCCTATAACCTACCATCTGTAGACTATTGATACCAGTACAACTACTATAGCTCAGTAGCCTATCTAGGGCACTTATTTTGCTTTTATACATGCATCCACTTATCATTTCAACGCACAGAAAATGTCAAACACACATGAAAACACTCCACCAGTGGACGTGGGCCTGTTGTGGGTGAGTGGGAGGAGCGTTCAAATGAGGATTAGTGCGGCTTTACCTTTGTGTGAGCTGCGGACCAGGTTAAGTAGCTTATGCGGACTGGTATGAAAGAAGGAAATTGTGGAGCTGTGACCAAGAGCAACTTGGTTATTTTCTCCTGAGGGGACATACTGAGTGCTTGTTTGTGGTAAAACCTGCTGTTCGACGCCGCTCAAAACTGCTGTGCGCTTTTCCCCGTCCAACCCGGAGGATCCGTTCAGCGGTAGGAGAATCAGAAAGAAAGATCGAAACACACGCCTTGTTTACAGCTGTGCCTTTAATTTACCTGTTAAAGTACATTTCAGTGACATTTCTGGTGCTGTCGGACCATGTGGTTATGTGTTTTGCTTTCCGTGACAGTTGCGGAGTCTGTGATTGACATGTGCGGGTGGGTGGACGGGTTGGGTCTCTCCCAAGAGTTATTCGTGAGGGGGGGGACCAAAAGTCTCTGCTGGGTTTACTTGGGGATTCCCAGTAAAGTTCCTTCTGGTTTAGCGTCCTTGTAAAGATAAAGAAGTGAAATCTGCGTTATGGCTGTTCTTCTGTGTTTCCATCGTGCTGTACTGTTGTGTCCTCACCATAGAGACAAAGTAGACCCACCCTATCGCTAATCATATAGTTCACAATCTGGTTTCATAATCTTGCAGTAACACGCAGTGCTCACAGCCTCATTCCTTGGCATATTATATCCACGTGCTGATGTTATGAGCTCTTGACAAAGTTATATTTCAGCCACATGCAGGAGAACTGTGACGTGCAGCCTGTACCTGTCCTGATTCACCTTTAAAGGCCCCCTGTCCCAATGAGCTCAGAACAAGCGAGAGGGAGACAGAATACAGGTGGTGTTGAGTTACCAGCAAACATCATTAATGTTTCATGGCTGGCCATCTTGCGTGAGTGTCATTCCTTCACAGGTGTTCTCTTCCACCTGCTAAATCAATGTCAGTCTAAATCACCTGATGTAAACTGAGCGCCTGAGGTTAGTTTTTGGGAGAGAAAAGATGTCAAACATGAAGGACTAAAACTTTGTTGTTGTTCAGGTCTCTCTCTCTCTCTCTCTCTCTCTCTCTCTCTCTCTCTCTCTCTCTCTGTGTGTGACTCAGCTGCAGGGAGGTCTTTTTCCACCCTGTTTGTTTGTGTGTTTGTAAGTTCAAACTGATTTATTTTTTCCGATAAACAGTCCAAAACCCAAAGATTATTTAGCGTACAATCATATAAAACACAGAAAAGCACCAAATCCTCACATTTGAGAAGTTGCAACCAGAGAGTTCTTGACATTTTTTGCCTGGAAAAATGACTTAATAAGACTTTATACCAATGCAATATGGGGCTATTTTCACTTGAACTGAACTTATCTGAACACACTTGAATGATACACACCTGGTAGTATCCAATTATTGCTTATTTTATTTATTATTATAAATATCTTTATTATTCTTATTATAAATAATAATACTATTGTAAAAGAGTTCATTTGGAGCACTCTGCATGAATGCCTTCTCATCATACCAGCCAAACGTACAATGACCCTGTGGAACCAGCCCTCAGTTTTTTGTACATGAGGGTCATTACTGACCTTTACAAATCGAAGTTTGAAAAAAAATTCATACAGGAAAGTTTGGAAAAAAAAGTTTGCCCAGTTGTCATGGAGACAATTTAGTTGTCATCGCGTGATTCGTTTGAGGTTTTGGTCATGGTCACTTTCACATCCCCCACCCACTCCAATACACAGCCATTTGTTATCAGGTGACTGAAGTTACATACTCGCGTGAAAACACCTGAACCATCTCCATCTCCTTTTTTTGGTCAAACTTTGTTCTTTCATTATGAGAATAACTGTCCTCCACAAACGTCTGCAAGTCATCATCAAATGTGGCCACTGTGGTGTCTGAGCTGGTTTTAAAAATACTCTTCATGTGGTTGCTCTTAAAAGCCCCACTAGCACACTACCAGGGGAAGTATTGTAAATATAATCAGGGTTTCTCAGCAGAATGACCACTTAAAAGGTATTTGTCACTGTAAAGGATGTGAAATTATGAGGTTTTCAGAATTGAAGGGAAGCAGTTTAGTGTGATTTTGTTGTATTTAACAAAGCTGCACTTATTCAGCCTAGATTTGTGCAATCTGACCTGTATGTCCATCATTGGTTGCATGCTCTGAGATGTCTGATATGATTATCATATCAGATTCACTCCAGAGACAAAAGCAAAACACACAAAACATATGTTGAACGTAAATACTGCTCTAAAGCAAGAATGCAAGCAAAGTTGTAATATAAGTCTTTGGAACAGTTTCTGAGGAATGTGTGGCTAATCAGTCATATGAGTTGGTGTGGTGATGTGCAAGAGACCTGGGTTCAGTTCCCCACTATGACACATCCACCAATGTGTCCCTGAGCAAGACACTTAACCCCTAGCTGCTCCAGAGGCGTCCGACCTATGACATACATAGCAATTGTAAGTCACTTTGGTTAAAGCGTCAACTAAATGAGTAACTGTAAATGTATGATAACTGAAGGTCTTTAGAGGGGACTTTAAAGTGAGTCTCCATCTTACATACAGTATAAGTTTGGGAAATAAGTGCTGCTGTAGTCAACATACAAGCAGGTGTGTGTGTGTGTGTGTGTGTGTGTGTGTGTGTGTGTGTGTGTGTTTTTCCACTTTCTCACCACAGACACAGCCAGCTCAGCTTTGTCCCGTGTTTGGAATTAGCTAGCTTGTGTCCCCATGCTGACCCTGGGAAGTAACAGACGACATGACAGCTCTATGGTAATGGTGACTAGAAATATCTCAACGATTTTGGAAATTGGATTTCTTTCCAACAGGGTCGCTTTCATTTATCTAATCCATACACAAACAGAAATGCAAAAAAGACAGTTTGTGGGAGATACGTCTAAAACAATTTTTTAGCGTACAAAAAGCCAGGCGCAGTGAGGTTGCCAATTTTTACATTTCTGTTTGTGTATGGATTAAACAAATTAGATTTGTGTTAATGAGAAAGCTTTGGAGCTGTTGGTAGGCATAGGACCCGAGGAGAGAGCCAGGCTAGCTGTTCTCTTCTTAGCCTATGTTAGGTAGGCTAACAACGTACTTGACTTTAACTCCATATGAAACATACAGACATCACCGTGGTCTATTCTGTTAATGACATTATCCACTAAAGATGTTCAACGAAATATGAGAATTTTATTGTAAAATATTCAGATTTGGGAATCGTTGTGGTATTGGCCCATTTGTTGGCTAGCCTGTGTTCCAGCACACCCCCACCCCCCACAAACTTTCTGCGGTTTAATCAGGTTGAACCACTTCTGTTGTCCAAGAATGAACTGGAATGAAGGAACAACTTATGTTTACAGAGCTAATGTGTAAGAGGTGAGTGTTAAATACTTTTTCAAAGAGCCATTTTTATTTTAATTGATGAGAGAGAAATGCAGAATGTAGCGTTATGTAGAGAAGTGCGCAGCCGCTTGAAAGCTACAGTAAACATTTTCATTTCCTTAATTAAACCAGTTTCAAATGGCAATGTAAAGTTAGTCTTAAATGGTGAAAACAGATCAGAGAAAGAACAGGTTCACAGTTATCCACACCAAAGCAAATATTTGACATTTGGGACACAGTATTCCCTTTAAAAACAAATTCCAGTTTTTGAGTTATCTGTGTATCATAGCTTTTTAAAAGGACTCCATAATCAAAAGTTTCAAAAGCTAATTACATGAGTGCAGTGCTGCAGCTCTCGGATAAATATCTCTGAACATCATAGACATGCCGTATCTTCTGTCGTCCTCCCTCCATTTCACATGCAAACATGGATCTTTTTTTTTTTTATCAGCAAGTGAACCCTGATGCAAACGAGCTACAGAGGAAGTAGCAGAGATAGGCTATACCCACGCTAAAACACATTCTTATCACTGACAGAAGCCTATTGTGGTGTGGGGTTAAGCTGAAGCCTCATACCAACTTGAAAGTAGGAATGATGTCACCAGCCCACATTGTGTACATACAATGTGGTAATTTAGTCTGTGAGGGTCAGAAAAAAACATTTCTAGTGACCTTGGGGAATTTGGGCGTGGTTATAATCACACAAGCAGAAGTGTCATTCTGCGAGAACACACGTATTACGCAGATTCTAATATTTTTAGCTTCATTTATTGGTAAGAAAACAGCGTGCCTCGCAAACATCAGTATGCTAGCACTGACATTGTGAGCATATTGCCAAGCTAGGATTAGCGTTTAGCTCAAAGCATCGCTCTAAGTGAAGTCTCACAGAGCCCTTAGCATGGCTACAGCCTCTTTGTCTTGTTAGACTAAATATGACAAAACAAAACCCAAATACATTCAGTTAAAATGAAAGGAATTCAGTTTTTTAATCCGCGAGAATTGTATACCTGACACAAGACCATGACATACGGATTTAAAGCTTACAGAAAATATAATTGTTACACTGTTAAATAAATCAAATGTGAAATGTTGGGATGTTTTTGCCTTGTCTAAAAGTTTGAAAAAACATGGAGTCTGCGTTCTATCACAGGGTTATCCGAGGTCTTACACCATGGGTGGTGAGGAAAAATCAACACACATGTACTGTATACTCCCATAATGTACATGCACTGACTCGTGCAGACACAGGCATGACATCACACTTTTGCAAATATCAGTGGCAGCAAGCAGGACACTGTCTCCTTTGTCCCCATCTAGAGTAGTCTTATCTTTCCACTGTAGGCTGAATTCTCTTTCAAGAGAGTTGCAGCATGTGAAGTTGGCAACGTGTCTCTGATCTTAACAATGTGGCATAAGGTTCTCTTGTATTGTCTTGTTGGCCTCTTTATCTACTTCATTTATAGAGCTAAGTTTTTAGAAAGCCTATTTTCGCTCCCGAGTGTTTGGTACTGCTGTGCTTATTGACTATTGACTATCTATTTTAGCTCCTCCTCTTCCCCCTCCCAGCTAAACTAAGCACCCGTGTTTGTGTGTGTTGTGTGTGTAACATGTTAATGAATCTCTTCTCGTGATCACAGAGTAATATGGTAGGACCAGCCTGTTCCTGAAACCAGTTTCAAGCTGAATACAACAGCCACCACCCTGCTAACCTTCATATGCATGTGAAAATCCACAGACATGAAGCATGGATCCGCTTGCATAACCACAGTCTTATCTCATAACATGGTATTATTCAGCACCTTTTAGGGTTGTGGAGCCTATGACAGGCTATTAGGGATACTTCTTATGGAAAATTATAATTTATGTATGATAGGATGAAATTCAACGGACATTTATTAAACAAATGCACAACAATTGTCCACATTTTAGAGAAATTCCTTCTTTTTAAAGATTTTTCCATCTGTCCACTTATTTTCACAGTAGGTCCGAAACACTTGTGTTTTAACTATCGTTGAAGTCCAAAGACAACCATAAATCTCAAAATCTGGACTAAGGGATTAGCTTTTCCTACTTTTAATCATAATAATAATAATAATAATAATCCGATTTAAGGTTTTTTTTAGGTTAACTTTACCGTATTTTATTCTCCTGTTTTAAATTAGTCTCTCCTAAAGAGAAATGGTTGAACACAGTGGTCACTGCCCCACTGGCTGAAGGGAATAATGGAGACATAGATAAGAAAATGAATGGCTTTTTCCTTCCTGCCATGTTGTTCATTGGATGAGGATAGTGAAGACAATAAATCGTCAGCCCAGGCACTATCTGGCCCTTCAATGGCTTCACCTGGAGCCCTAAATATTTCAGCAGCTGCTATCACTTTAATGGGCCTGTCTTTCACTGGGTTGCCATGGCTGCCACCTGGCCACTGTATATTTCTACTCTGCCAGTGCCACCTTCAGCAGAGGGGACAGACTTTAAGACTGACTTTTCGTCTGTCTGCTGGAGGTAACAATCGTAGTAGTATAGCACCCAAAATGCTACACCTTAGAGAGCAGGGAAGTTTAGAAAAGAAATATAGAACAATGAAATGTGTTTTTGTAAAGTTTAAAGTATATCTGCTTTGACTTTTTTTCAATCAAGTCTCTGGGATTGAGGTTAAAAGCTCCTGTTTAGCAAGAAAGAAGATTGATTCTGAGTAAAGGGTGCGTCTTGCCTCTAAGCTATTTGTCCAGACCACGCCTGCCTGTATGAAAGCTGACAATGCCAGAAACCAGATCAGAAAAAAATGACAGAACCCCTAGAGGCAAGTATTTCTCTTTTATGTTTCCACTGTGTTTGCTCCTTTCAGCCTGGGGCTTTATCTCTCTTGATTTTTTTGGTTTTTTATTCTTACAAAGCTACTTTGGCAAAACATTGAAGTGCACCACAATAGCTGGGCTCATGTTTACTTAGGAGTGAAGAGCCTCTTTATGCAACACCACTTGTACAACCATTCACACTGAAGAGAATAAGAAATCCCTAGCTATATCTGCGTAGTGATAATAAATTATTACTTAAACCGATACAGTTGGCACTGCCGGAAAGGCATGACATTTTTCAGCAAAAATGGACTGTTCGTAACAACTCCTGGCCATCATCCAATTCCTTGTTCAGAAGGATCAGCCAAACCCTACTTTTGTGGAAATCTGGGGGAGATGACTTAAGCTGCAGCAGCTCCTAAATGCTGCCAGACCCATCATTAGAAACCGCACACAGCTAGTGCAAAGAAACCAGACAAAGCTTAAAGTAATGGGGCATTGTGTCTGTCTGGTAAGACAAGACAAGGGAATTCAATTTGGATTTTTTTTACAGCTTTTGTTTTTACTATTTCATTTTACTGAGTTGAGAATATTTATATTTTAATATGGGCACTACTTTTCAGTCAGAGCACTGTCAATCACCCAAGACCCACAGGAAAACGTGAGTGTTGACCAAATATTAGAAGCACATCTCAGTATAACACAAGACAGTTCAGCCACACCACAAACTACAGCCTCCAGAATGACCATAAAGTTTAATCAACCTCTCTACACCTCTCTAAAACAGTTTCAACAGGTGGCAGGATTATGCATCAGTGATCATCCATCCATCCATTGTCAACCGCTTATCCTGCGTACAGGGTTGCGGGGGGGCTGGAGCCAATCCCAGCTTACATCGGGCGAAAGGCTCAGTGATCATTATAATTTTAACAAAGTACTATTGTTGTTATTATTAGAATCGTGGTGGTGGTGATGATAATAATGATAAAAACTTGTCAAGAGAGAAAGAGAAGAGAGGAATATGATCGATGCATCAAAGCTTATTCAGTTAAATAACACAGCAGCAAAAACCGTGTTGTGATGTATTTGCCCTAATGGCATGTTTCTCGTCCCCCTGATTTGATTTGTAATGATGCTGCTTTCCCCAATCCATAGTCCTCGACATACAAAATTAATGAATTGTTACTGCATCATTCTGCACTGAGGGGAAATCCCTGGCTGGATTTGTTTGCTCTGTTGCACATGTCTCTGACTGTGGAGAAGTGGAAGCAACAAATATGTGTAATTGTCAAATTGCCATAACCGGAAATGATCAAATCAGAAGAATCCAGCGAGCCTTGTGTAGCAATGAGATGGCTATTCTGGTAGTTTGAGGCTGTAAACAGACAAATACATACACGACACTGCAATCTCAAACATTCAGATCTTAAACTATTTCAGAACCAACTCTCAGATTCTCTCTCTCTCTCTCACACACACACACACACACACACACAGTATGTATTTTTAACAGCCTATATTTTGGCATGTTTGTAAGTAGTAAGTAAGTAAGTAAGTAAAATTTATTTAATATAGCACCTTTCACAGAGCAAGTCACAAAGTGCTTTACAGTGATAAATAATAACAATAATAAAAGCAACAATAAAATAGTGGAGAGATCAGACAATCATACAAAAGCATCAAACATTATAAAGGCATCAATCAATATAATCAATGTATTTGTGTATATTAACAGGCGCGTAAATAATCAAAATCAAGGCATTATGTATTTTTGTCCCATTTCTGGCCCTCCTGTATTTCAGGTTATTTTGGGCAAGTAGAGCAGTGTCTTCTGGGTTACTGTGGGCTCCCCCTGTGTGACAACATGACAGCAGGTACTGTAAATGAGAGCATGATGTAGGTTATGACTTTCATTAATGGGCCTTTTATTAGATAGTAGTTCTTCAAACATACTTCCACAAGTGGTGTTCTTTGTTGTGCGGAAAGTGTCATATTTCATTGGATTGTTGTATTATAAGCTCAGTCTCAGTTGTGGTGTTAAATCCAAGTCTTGATGGCTCATAGTTCAGACAGAAATGTACTGTACCAAACGGAGCATTTTTGAGAGAAGTTGTTGCTAGTGTATTGTTGTCTGAGAGGAGCTAATCACTGCTTACATCAGACTAATCTTGCAATCTGTTTTACCGCTGAATAAATGACAAACTGTAGGTTTTTGACTCTCAAGACATCTGTACCACCCATGAGAAAGACTTGAACAAAAGAGCAGCAGAAAATTTACTTGAAGCAAAGTGAAGGCTGATAAACAGGTGAAAAGCTGCTTTAAAAAAGTGAACCTGGTCAGAGTGAAATACAGCAAGCAGGCTGATGGACGATAAGAAACGTGAGCGCAGCAAATCGGGCTAACCTGGCAAAATGTTTTGTTTTCTAAAATAAAGAACCCTATTCAGCCTGTTCTGGTTTTCTGCGCTTCCAAGTCAGAAAAGGCTCAGCAGGAGATAATAGTTCTATCATGGTTTGCCTTACTAGTGACTTTAGCCCAACCAGTAATGCATTTTTGAGGCAAATATTTTGATATATTAGTTTTAAAAATCTGTTATATTGACTGATACTATTTTTGTTTGTTTACATGTAACAGTAACAAAAACATTTTAAAAGGATTCTTTAAAAAGATTTTGTAAAGAATTGTGTCATGCAGTAGATGAACATGACAGTTGAAAAATCAACTTTCCAGTGCTCAAGGAATGTAATATTGACACTGTTTCTTAATTACCTCAAACATATTCTTGGCATTGCTGTACTGCAATGTCTTTATAGTGATATTACTTATCAGCCAACATACACCAATATATCTGCATTGGTAGACCTCCTCCAGTCCAAGTGCTCTAACCCAGGCACTGAACTTAAAATTGCATGTTTGTATGCAATAAAATGTGGGTCAACAAGTGTGATTTGCAAATGAATGTGATGCGCAACTCCATGATGGCTTCTATATTGTGCTGTGCATGTTTGAGTCCAAAGCAAGGCACAAAACCAGCATGAGAAACAAAATTAGTGTTTGATGACTCCTCCTCAGCACACTCACTCACCCACACACGCACACACCTCCCTCCATCTGTCTCCCTCTAACTCTCACTATTTACACAACACCGCACTTTTATGAAAGACTGTCTGTTTTACAAGAAACCCACATTTAGACATCAATTTTTAAAAAAACATCAGCAGCAGAATTAGAGACTTGATGTGGTCAATGTGTGTTATATTGTACATGATTTTTAAAAACTACATTTTGAGAGTTTTGAGGCTGCTGCATCACTTGACGTGATTCCCACGATGGCTCTGTGAAAGAGCTGGAGAGGGCAGTTGTACTGCTGGTGAGTCATGGGCCTCTGACAGTTGAGAACGATGCTAATTACACTAATTCAAGCACTAATTGAAAGGGACAATAGTGTTATTCTCCCATGGTGGAAGGAGCATGCGGCTTTGATATTCATGTTGAATTCCTACAGAAATATCAAGTGCTGACCTGCGATTGGTCCTTGTTATGCATTTGAACACTGCTGCTGTCATTTTTCTCGTACCTCCTCCTTTCCTGTAGACTTACACTCACCCTGTTTTTCCTTTCTGCTCCCTCCCCCTCCTGCTTTCCCCTCCCTCCCTCCCTGTAACCTCCTCCTCTCCATCTCCATCCATGTGGCGTTCAGAGCAGCTTACTCATGTCCAGTCACTTCCCACCACGCCTGGCTTCTCACACGGACACTCACTTTCTTCTCATCTCTCTCTTTGTTTTGTTTTTTGACAAAAGGACAAGAATGAGGTCCTTGTCAACCTGTCACTGAAGATGGTTCAGCGAAGGTAAGAAACCCCCCTCCCTAACACACACACACACACACGCACACGCGCACACACACACACACTCTCCTCGCTGCTTTTACATTCCTTCTCAAGAATCCACCCTCTTCTAACTGAAAGCAGATGGTAAAAGTTTGACTGTTATGCCTAAACTCTGTGGTTGGTGTGGATGTTTCTGTGGTACTGGGGAAAGTGGATTCAAAAGAAGAGAGTGAGCTGTGATTGGTTGAGAGGCACTTTTAAGGTAGAAGCGGGAGGCTGTAATTTGGTATTGTGGCATGCAGCTGCTGCGTGTTTTACAGTTGATCTCCTGTGGTGACAGAGTCCATGTGATCCTGTATTATGTAGTGTGAGTGTTTAACTCTGTCCTGATGTTGTGTTAGTGCTCCGAGACAAACATAAACCATGTCATGTCACGCTAGTGGCACGGCTCTAGGGATGTTGGCCAGTCGGTTGTTCTACCAGTTTGGTCCAGGATTAAAGATCTATTGTATGGGTTTAGATGCATTTTTGCATCCATGGTCCTCTGAGGATGAGGCCTGCTGACTTTGGTGATCCCTTGAATCCCAGTGAATATGGTACAGACATCCATGATTCAAGTTCCCCACTGGAGGACTTAGAATAACTTTGATGATGTCACTAGAGGGAAAGTCAGGGGATCACCAGGTACTGGACAAGCGTATCCTAATAGTAACTGTTAGCGTGCTAACAATACTAACATGCTAAGTTAAGATCGTGAACGTGGTAAACATTACCTGCTAAACACCTGGATGTCATTGTGAGCATGTTAGCATGCCAAGATTAGCATTTAGCTCAAAGCACCGCTGTGCCAAAGAGCAGCCTCACAGAGCCGCTATCATGGCTGTAGTCTTGTTAAATGTTCTTGGAGAGATTATGTGTAAGATCCCTGTGATTTTTCATGTTTCATATTTTCTTGATAGTTGTCACAAACCTTCTCTGTTTGTGATCAGAGGAAACATGGGGAGATGAGGCACATCCTAACATCCTTCCTCTTGAAGTGCAGGCATGTTCCTGGAAATATGGTGCATTGTAGCAGCCAACTGGATTTATCCTTGCTGGGGGTTTTTTCTCACATTATCCTGTTTGAAAAAGCATTACACTCTTGCTGTTCCCAGTCTTTTCAAAGAAAACTTCTTTCTTGTTCAGCAGTCATTTCTTCCAGTAATGTCCTTCCCAAGGGAAACAAGAATGTAGTTCTGGGGAAAAAGTCAGCATCTTCCAAATTTCCATGGTGCCAATGTGAGTGTTGGAAAGGATCTGCAGAGCTTCCCTCAGGCTATTTTCAACTAAGAAAATATATATATGGTTTTCATACAAACAAGCAGTGTGAGCAATGCAGACCTCACTTGCCTAAATATGTTGTAAAATATGTCATTCAGAAATAAAAACGGCAAATTTATTTATCTACAAAACTAGCAATCACGTTTTGTTTTCCCCTAACTCCCCTTTCTATCAACCAGAGTTGTTCACATCCAGTTGCCGTTCGCCGTCTGATGTCAAAAAATGGTTTTGTAATGAGAGTGATGTCAGAGGGGCCTGCAGGAATCCACTTTGGGCGTCTGAGGTATTCCAAAAGCAATTTGACAGCTCAGTCCAAAGTCCAAGCGCGGCAGGAAACTCTCTGAGCCAAAGTCGAACAAGATGCATCTCTTTCTCTCCTCTACCGAGTCATCTGACTTAGCCTGTTATTGTTCTCTTTCCTGCATGCCTGTCATAGCTGCTGTCTAGCCATGCAGAGGGAGAGAGGGAGAGAAATGCACTGCAAATCACCAGTCATATCATTGTACGGGCTACTATTTTATGAAGCAACTTTTTGTGACTCTGTGTGTGATGATGTCCGCTTGTGTTTTTTTCCCCTCAGGCCCTCTGCGATTATGCTTCCTCCTGTGGTTATGGTTGCACCCAGTAAGCAATCAGGAATGTCCTCCTTCTCCTGCCTATGACATGGTTTAACCCACGTATGATCTGGTCATCATGATGGCCTCCATGGTTGCCAATGGAAACCGAGATGGGCAGGCTCTGGATTTGAAAGGGGTGGATCCAGAGACCTGCATGATTGTGTTCAAGAACCACTGGGCTCAGGTAAATGCCAGCGCTAAATCCTGCTGCTTAAAGGAATAGAAATACACTTTTTTTTTTTTAGATGAGAAGGAAGATACCACTGTCATGGAGCGCTCCGGCAGTCCAATGCTTACAGTTCATGCCAAATTACCTCAATGTCCCTGGTTTGATTTCAACCAGTGAGCTTTGTTGAATGCCATACCTCGCTCACGGCCCTTGTTTGCTGTCTGTGTTTTCAGTGTTGACTGTCCAATAAAGGCAAAAATGCCTACAGCTGGGAGGCAATTAGCTTAACTTAGCATAAAGACTGGAAGCAAGGGGAAACTGATATGCTCTTTCTCTCCAATTTGAAAATATCAGCATATCTTAAGCTCTCTAATTAAAGGGGCTATAAGCAAGTTTTTGATTTTAATAAATCATTTTCATTGCCTTATTGTCAGTGGACTCAAAACTCAGAAACTTAGAAATGAAGCACACGCCTGTTTTCTCCGTTGCTTGCATCAGCCACTATTCTGCTTTTAATGTGAGGTCTCCGGGTTGGATTCAGCCCTGTGCGCACTCCCGAGCCTCTCTCAGACTACAGCGACAACACGGCAGCTAACGAGATGCAGTCCACTAACACCATAAAACAACCAGCTCACAGCAAAACACAGGCTCCACGTAAGGATACAAAACAACAATAAAGGTTTATGTGCTGAAGCCCATCAGACCAAACAGGTTCAGATGTCGAATAAGAACAAAGTGAGCATTAGCAAAGCTGGAGAAACAGAGAAAGTCACATTAGCTCGCCGGTTAACACCGAGCAATTGCTAATGTTATCCGGTGCAAAGTTACATCGCTTTCCACATTACCTCACCAACTAACGTGACCCATGTTACTATCCTGTGTACCACTGTTGATATAGCCTGCAAGAACGGATGTAACGGTAAAAAGCAAATGTGGAGAGATTTATTTACTAACGTTAGCCTATAGTGATGCAGCCAGGGCAGCCAGCTAATGCTACATTAGCTCTGACCTGCCGCTGTTTTCTTCGTAACGTCAGTGTACGTTTATTGTGGTTTTACCAATACTCCGGTACACAGCTTCTCCACCTCTCCGTTGCTGTAACTAACGTGACCCACATAATGTAAAACACTGCAACAAAACGGGGACAACAACACAGAGGATTAGCCATCCACTATCACTAGTTACAGTTAAGGAAGGTACTTACTGCGGTCTAACTGTTATAAAGTGTGACACAATCTTGTTATAATATTCAGTCCAGCTCACTAACCGTTTCATTATCATCCAATACATGTAGCTGTGCTGACATTGCTGAGCCTCCGGTGACAGATTCACAGATAGTAAAGATAGTTACTGAAAAGCAGCAGGCGAGCTAACGATTTAGCACGGCGGCTAAATGCAGTAAATGTACCGTGATCATGTAACCAGCATGGATTAGTTCAACCTACAGTTGATAAAACTATTACTGTAACATTGCAGTGGGAGTTTACCCGAGTTTCCAGCTCTGTCTGTTCTCCCTGTCTGTCTATAGCCGCTTTCACTCTGCCTTGTATTGAGTTGATATGCGGCTCACTGCGCTGAATGAAAGGTACGGCGCTGGTGTTGATCTGCCTCTGAGACGGGAACATCGTAGTAACAGAGCCTGAACATGTCTGGAGAAAAGCCACAGCCTGCATGCTGGTGTTCCTGCGTTTATTGTGGTATTTCTGTATGAAAGTGGTTGTGTTTCGGGTTATGCTCGCTCATGAGTTCAAGCGAGCACGCGTACTAGCACACACCTGGTTGCAATCTTAGAACCGGTCGCTGGAAACTCCATAATGCCCCTTTAAACATGTTATATTTTGTTTGTTTAATCTGTGCATAAATAGAAATACCAGTTTGTGCTAGTAGAGAGTTGCATGCTGTAACTTTTTCTAGATGAACAATAATTTATCTGGCTGGCCAGAACTTTGGTGCTGCATCTTCGCAAATTCATATTGATGATTTTGTTTTTTTTTCTTTTTCTGTTTGTGTGCTCATTAAACTAACAAGATACAGCAGGTTAATTACTGAACTTAAGAGGCAAGGCTAGCTGCTTCAAGTCTATATGCTAAGCTAAGCTAATCAACTCCTGGTTCTAGGGTCATATGTAAATGCACTGACATCAGATTAGTAATCTTCTCATCTAACTCTTGGCAAGAAAGTAAACAAGCTTATTTTCCAAAACTATATTGAATTATTCCTTTAAAATATAAATTTCAAAAATGCTATCTCCAAGCCTCAGCTAAACTTGTCTTTAAAGTGGTTGTTCCTGGTGGCGTGGAGTAAAGCCGCCGTTTGACCAAAAGTACCTGGGACTTTTATATCTCCAGATCTCTTTTCAATGAACTAAAAGGTTCCTTAAGCCCACTGTTGTGTGCGTTTCCACCGTGGTCTAAAGACCTGCGAAGATTAGGCAAATTAACCTGCTGACGGAGGCTGTAGCCACACAAAGCGATGTACAGGCATCATTATTTGTAACCACTATCCATGAGAAATATTTATAAATGAACATCAGATTTGACTGGAATATAATGAAAAACTATAGGCTTTGCTTGACTATTAAAGCAGCTTTTTTGTGTGAGTGCTATAATGAAGATAGGCTACACACGATAAAGTTCATTACGCATTAAATAATAGCCAAACAAACTGGATAAAGCCATAAAGTTCTTAAAATAACTCCAGCACAGAAAAAGCAACACAAAAATAAAATTGCGACAGTAGATCAGCTGCAGCATTCACGTCTGTGTCCGCCTGCGTTGGAAGAACGGGATGTTTAACGAGCTTTAATTACCTGCTGTAATCAGCTGTTCCACTTGTTTCGGAGAGGAGACCAACTTCGGCTCCATGTAGAGACTTCCTGGCTGATGAAAACTTAAAACAACAACTTCGGACCCAGTATTTAGCGTAACTCCATCAGCTGATCATTGTAAACACACTGCTGCAGCTGGCTGCTATTTCCCAGTTATGAATTTAATGCCAACATACGACCTCAGGCGGACATTGGCGAGACGTGTGGATAACAAACTGGATAAAACCATCAAGTTCTTAAAATAACTCCAGCACAGAGAAAGCAACACAAAAATAAAATCACGACATTTTGGAAGGTTATTAAAACATTTCCAGCAACAAGAGCTGCAGATCAGCTGTAGGACCGTGTCGCCTGAGCGTTGGAGGAACGTGATCTTTAACGAGCTTTATTACCTGCTGTAATTAGCAGTTCCGCTTGTTTTGGAGAGGAGTAGACCGACTTCGGCTCTGTGTAAAAACCTCCTGACTGATGAAAACTTAAAACAACAACAACTTAGACCCAGTATTTAGCGTAAACACACCACTGCAAGCTAGCCAACATAGATCTCAGGTGGACGTCGGCGAGACTTGTGTGGCTATTTGACTGTTGATTGTGATTTATTGGTTTGCAAACAAAGGTGGAAAAGAAACAAGCAGTCGTAGAAAAAGCAGTCGTAGAAACCCCCTCCCCCCTTCCGAGCAGGGACTTTTTGGGGGGTTTAGTGAAGGCCCCAGAACTACATTTAGACCCTGGTCCCTCTGGTGGAAAAACAGTGAGTTCCTCCAAAGGTTCCTAGTTCCGGGGTAAAGTTCCTTTGGTCGAAATGCAGCTTAAGTGTGTATGCCTTTTTTCACTGACGCTGCTTTCTGCTACCCTTGCACCTATGTTCATGTAATTACTTTCCTTCTTATTATAAACCTGCCTTATACAGCAGCCACAGCGAAGAAACACTCCAACATTATGACACAATATTCTAATGGAAGAAAACACCAACAAAGAAGCAATGCATACCTAACTTGAATTTACAAAGGATATGAATGCATTATCGTTAGAGACTATCTGACAGTGGGACTGAATTGATTGTTGGCGTACAGAAAAAACTTATTTACAACCATGAAATTTGCATTAATCTACATGCCATCACCCTCACTGAATACCTACGCAACAAGTGGATCCCACGGAGCTTGAGATTGGCAAAGCTTTACCCACTAATGTATGGGACAATAAGACCTTTTGTGATAATTGGTGTCAAGTCTTAAACAAGGTGGCATGGAGTAAGAATGTAGGTGTTTTTTCACTGACACTGCTTTCTGATTGCCTTGCACCTGCGTGTTGTGCGTATAATTACTCTCCTTCAACCTTGAAAGTGGTTTGCATGTATTTACTTAAAACAAGTCAATGTCTTCTTTGCGACCCCTCCTCACAGATTGCAGATTATTTTGTGTAGATTTTCACTTCACAGATAGTTTAATTGTTGTAATTATTAAGAGGCCAGAAGAGGTAAAGACCATAGAAAAGTCTAGCAAAACAACATCATTTTGCGCCCTAGTTCATCTTGTCACTCCTTAGATGCCTAAGATTTATCTTGTGAGCCCTTGGAGAGATCCTGACCCCAGGTTGGAAACCATCACTTAATAAGCATCAAAGTTATGCTTATGAAGTCACTTTCCTTCTACCTTTCCAACAACAGTAAACTGCAGTGCAGTTATAGGCGGAGGAATCTTGGCAATGTGAGGCTGACTGTCTTTGACTCTTGGCTCTTTGCAGCAGCATGTATCCCTGTTCACCCTCTGGGTCCTGGCAGCCTGCAAGACCTACTCCTCCCACACTATAATGAACAAATATTACACACTGACATGAGTATGACACTGGCCAGACACTGAGGGGCTAGAAAAGTGTGTTGGTAACTAAGTGTCAGCTGCTTTTATGTGTAAGTGGTTAGGGTTTGTCTTTGTGGGGTCTGACACTTTGTTAGAGGGGATGCTCTCTGGTGCTCACAGCTAAATTAAGCTGCATTCTTCTGTATTTTGTTAAAGTGTGCCACCAGATGAGGTAGGGATTTATTGTGTTACTTGGTCAGAAGTTGTGTGGTTTAATGCAGATATTGAAGACCTTGCTGAACTATAGTTAAAGCCCCCCTTCCACTCAGAAATGTGTTTTGCCTATTGTTACTTAATTTCAATGATTGACCTTCACTGTATGATCCATGTGCAGATTTCGATACTAGAA